GTTTCATTGTTCGCCCGTGTTTGATGTGGTTGCCGAATTCCTGCAGCCATGCTCCTAGTTGGCACTGTTTGTGGCTCCTGGATGCGCCCGAAGCGTGGCTACCACGAGCCCAGTGGGCCCTGGCTGACATGCCCCGGGGAGCCCACGGGAAGCCCAGGCGAGCATCTCCCTGCAGCCCTGTGCTCCCAGCCGACCCTGACCCCTACTCCCTGCCCCGGCTCCACAGCCCGTCTCTGCTCTGAACCTCTCAGGCCTCTTGACCGCTTGTCCAGCCAATGCCAGAGCCCCAGAGAGGTTCCCTGAGCTGCCCTCATAGGTCCCAGTCACCCACTGCCCCCACGGTCACTCCTTAGACCAGGTGCTCCCTCCCCGGCCAGTGCTCCCTTAGCTCTGACCAGAGTCTTCCTCCCGCAGATACAGCTGTCGCTCCTCCTGCACACTTGGCTCTTCTCTCATCTTCCCCGGGAGGCTTTTTATTCCTGCCGCCCTCCCCCCTCCACCCCTACACACTCTTTTAGAACCCTCTATTTCCTTTCCCTGTTTCCGTTTCTTTCTTTTTTGGGTCACACCCCGCGATGCTAAGGACTTTCTCCTGGCTCTGCACTTAGGAGTTTCTCCTGCGGTGTTTGGGGGCCCAGAGGGGATGCAGGGGATCGAACCTGTGTTGGCTGGCGTGCAAGGTGGGCGCCCTACCCACTGTACTCTCTCTCTGGCCCTCTTTCGCTTCTCCCACATTTGCCACCCTCGAAGACGTCCTGCGGTTAACTTAGAAAATGCAGATTGTCTGCCCCCACCCCAGCCCCGATGGGAAATGCCCCAGAGCAGAGGTGTGTGTCCTGTTCCCGTCTGGTCCCAGGGGCCACCCTGCACGTGGGAAGCGCCGGCCGGCCCCTCTTGCTGAAGTCCCTCCGACCAGTCTGAATCTGGTGATGCAGTGGAACGGACTGGGTCCCTCCACCCTGGTCAGTCTCTTCATTTTGGAGCTGGGGCTCACAGGCAGTGGCGCTGGCGGGCCCAAGGAGAAAGGCCCATTGTGGAGCGGGCGGCGGGCGCCGGGTGCGAGGCCGCGGGCCCCTGTGGCAGGCAGGAGCGCGTGGCTATTTATAGCGAGAATTCCATCCACGCGGCCCTCCTGTCAGTGTCCTTGCAGCAGCGCCCGTCACTCAATTAGCTCCTGGTTTCTTTAGGCCTATTATGCATTGTGGGACTCCCCTGGCTCAGGGTTTTTTTTTTTTTTACTTTTTTGAAAAGGATAATGGAATGCACTGTTCTAAGAGGCTTCATTTCCTAATAACTTTACTAATTGAGAAAAAAGAAAACGCAACCACATTTCCCCAGTTTTTCATGATGAAATGATCCAACATGTGAAGGGATTGGAAATGCAATTCTGGGAAGAACCTGGGGCTGCCCCACTTCGCTTCAGCTTACCCCCCGGGGAGCTCCTGCGAGCCTTGGCCCGGTGGTTTTGCCTCTGGGCCAGACCAGTCGGTGCTGGTGTGGGTTTGTTTTTCTTCGTTTCCATCTTGAACCGTTTGAAGGCCAATTGTGAATGTCATGACGTTTTACTCTTAAAAACTTCAGCCTGTTCTCCTAAGAAATCATTTGAGAATGAGGCTGTTGTCCTAGTTTACTCCCATCTCCATGAATAAGAACTGTGTTTTTTGTTAGTCTTTCTTTTTTTTTATTTTGGTTTTGTTTTTCGTTTGGGGGCCGCGCCCATCTATGCTCAGGGCTTTCTCCTGGCTCTGCACTCAGGAATCACTCCTGGGTGGTGCTTGGGGGACCGGGTAGGATGCCGGGGATCAAACCTGGGTTGGCCACATGCAAGGCAAACACCCTCCCTGCTCTGAGCCTTATTTGTCTTTTGGACCATACCGGGTTGTGCTCAGGGATCATTCCTGGTGGGACTTGGGGGCCTGTTTGTGGTGCTGGAGATTGAACCCAGGTCAGCCACATGCAAGCAGGTGCCTTCCCTACTGTGGTATCTCTCGACCCAAATAAGAACAGTCTTGTTCGAAATGACATGCCTCTACTCTGCCGAACCTGAAGGAATGAACAGTAACTCCGGACATTCACTGATGCAAATTTGGGTGCAAATTTGTCTCAGGAATGTTTTTCTCCAAATCAAGGTTTTAGTCAAAATTTGTATATGATAGTTAGCGTTCTTTAAATATGAAAGTTTCCTTCTCATCTTTTTATTTTATTATTATTATTATTTTTCTTTTTTTAACAGTACTGGGATTAAACCCAGGGCTTCATCCATGCAAGGTACTTGCATACTTGCTTCATCATGGAGCCACGTCTTCGGCCTCTTTCTCCCTCTTTTATTTTTTAATTTTGGAGGCCACACTGGTGGGTCTCAGGTCTCCTGCATGCAGAGTCTTCAGCCTGTTGAGCCATCCCTTGGGCCCTCCTCCCTCCATTCCTTTATTATTATTATTTTTGTTGTTGTTACCAGGACATACCCAATGGTGCTCCGGGCTCTCTGCTCGGGGGTCACTCCTGGCATGGCTCGGGAGAACATATGTGGTGCCTGGGATCAAACCCAGGCTGGCCGCATGCAAGGCAGATGCCTCACCCTCAGACTGTGTCTCCTGGGTCAGTCGCATGCAGGGCACGTGCCTTACCCCTTATTGGACCATCTCTCCAGCCCCCTCGCGGCTCTTTTTGAAGATCAAGCGTAGCTTTTGAAAAGTGTTGCAAGGTAATTAATGTTGGCTTGCTGGGGTGGGGGGTGACTTGGGCCACAGACATCAGGAACTGTTCAGAGCTCGGCAGTGGCCCTGGTGCTGCTTGGGGGATGATACACAGTGCCGGGGATCGAATGGGGGTCGGCAGGATGCACAGCAAGCTCCTGACCCCTGTGCTCTCTCGCTGGCCCTGGAAGGTTCTTTCTGTGCCTGTGAGTCTGTTGTGACTGGTGGGGTGCAGTCTGTTGGTGACCTGACAGAGGACCTAGGGGCGCAGTGCTGAGGAGCGCCGTCTCCTGCAGTGAGACGAGGGACGGGCCAGTTCCGCCCATGCCTAGTCACTCTCGGACCTGTAGCGGCATGAGGTGGCCAGGGAGAGAACCCTCCCACTTCCTGCTGACCCTCACCCTCAGCCTCCTGGATGGAGGGGGAGCCTTAAGGATCCTGGCCTCCTCGAGAAGGGACTTGGGGCACCTGAACCGTATTACCAGTGCCGGCATCCTGGATCCAGGGGAATGTGCCCTCGCCGGGGTGATGGCTCCTCCACAGGGATTTACGGAGTTGGCTGCCACGGCCTTCCGAGCTCGGGCAGGCCAAGATCAGAACAAGTGTACCACGCACAGGCCAGCACCAGAGATACCAGAAATCTCCCACCTAAACACCGCAACATCCGCAGGGAGGGAAGGAAAACGGCGACTTCCCCGGGGCCTGCTCTCGGCCTTCTGGTCTTGTACCTGAGTCCCCTGAGAAGCAAACTCGTCCTGTTCCCGGGGCGGCAGTGAGGGAGGTGATACTCGGGTTGGGTAGCTTGGCTTAGTGCCTTCCCGGGTCTGAGACTCGGACCTCTCTGCCTGGTTGGCACCTGCTCCAGTCCCCTCCCGGGCTCCCAGCCTGACAGAGGGCAATGTGCCTTGATGTGGAAACCATGACATGTGCTGTTACTTGTGGTGAGCGTTGGTGATCTCTCTGTTCCAACGGGGCGGCTCAGAAGTGCCATTTCAGAGAGGTTTGGGGCTCACCCAGCCCATCACGGAAGCAGCAAAAGACTCCAAGGATTTGGAGTGGTGGAGGTTGTGGAGATGCTGAGAAGCTGCGGGGGAACTGGTTTCTCCCTCATTTTGACGAACCCTCGGATTGATCCGTGTGTGTGTGTGTGTGTGTGTGTGTGTGTGTGTGTGTGTGTAATTATTTTGCTTGTTTCGGGGTCCGCTTGGGGTGCTATTCCCAGTTTGTGCTTGGGCATCACTCCTGTCAGTGCCTGGGGGCCTTGGCACACAGGGCGCTACCTTCCTGCCTCCCTGTCTGACTCTCTGTTGCCGGGAACTCGTGCCTCAGAAGTGTTCAGCGAAATCCTTACTCACCCACGTCTTGTCTCATTCTAGAAAGCCAGTGGAATAGATTTTAACAGGACAGGAGCGACTGAGATAAAATGAAGCAGCATGCTGGGTGGTGGTCGCCGGGCTCGGGTTTTCCAGGCTGTTTTGTCAGAGGTGGAGGTGGGGAAGGCCGGCTCTGCTTTCCAGATCCCCCTAAATAGTGCTCTCGCCCACTGATCACTGACATGCTCTCCCGGAAGGCCCTCCGTGGGCCGGGGTATCGGCGGCTGTGCACACATTTCCAGCCCGCCTGGGGCTTGGTGCTTTTGCCTCCCGTCTGCCGTGTGTTCTGGTTCTTTCTGTGGCAACTCTCCCCAGGGGGCCTGGATTCGCCTCCCATTCCAGGGCTGGGCAGCCGGGCTCCAGTGTCACCTGTCACAGTGCCAGGGACAGCAGGTCCCGCCTTCCCGAGGAGCCCTGGGCCACACACGGCCGGAGAGAAATGGCCCGTTGTAGAACCTGGAGTTCGAAAAACTTTGGCCTTGAGAAACATCTTCAGGCTTGAACTTTGAAAACAAACCCACCCCGTGTCAGCACGAGGAGGAAGAGGCCCCGGGCTCTGCATCTGGGTCACGTTTCCTTGGGCCCCTGCCCAGACCATCTCTCTCCTTGGCTGTCCCCTCCCCACCGTCCCCCGCCACCGTCTTTATATGGGACGGGGGAAGGTGGCCTCATGTGCGATCATTTCCTGCCTCTGGAGCGTCCACACTTCCTCTCTCTGGGCCCACGATGTGGCGGCCGTGGAGCAACACCGCAGCCCGCGAGCGCCGTGCAGGGAGGAGCGGGGGCCTCCCCGCCGACCGGCTCCAGCTGCTCCCCCGCCCCTTCTCCGCACCCCTCCATACAGAAGGAGAGGAGGGAGAAGGGGTGAGGGGGTGCTTCGCGGGGGGCGCCCAGTCCTCAGGCCCGCCCTCTTGCCCTTTGTGTCCGGCAGTGGAGAACACGCAGCTGACCCTGAACCTGCAGACGGAGAGCAAGGCGGGCGGCGTCTCGGGCGGCGAGTTGACCATTTTCCTGGACGGCCCGACTGTTGATCTGGGAAGCGTGCCTAACGGCAGCGCCGTGGCTGATGGTGAGTGCCTCCCCGCACCCCCCCAGCTGTGCAGGGCGAGGGCTGGAGACCCCGGGCTCGCTCCTGGTGTCTGGGCTTGGGGACCGCTCAGCCTGCATTCACGGCCAGTACCCCAGGCCCACGCAGGGTCTGGTTTGTCCAGGGCTCTGGTTAGGGACCTGGGCAAATGTCAGGTCCTGCAAAGAGCATTCTTATTGGCCGAAGAGCAGAGAAAAGCATCTTGTGTCCCGGGCTTTGGAAAGTCGGTCATCTCTCCCTGGTGGTACCTGGGTCCGGCGTTCTTCACCCAGACCCAGGGAAGCTGCCCGAAGAGGTGGCAGAGGCTGGTGTTGGTGGGGACAGGGACCGGGTCTTTGGGATAGGGGGTGACGGAGAACAGACAAAAGCCAGATACAGAGTGTCTCTGGCTCTGTCCTGGACGGGTCGGCCTAGTCTCTTTTGACCTCGTGTGACACGAGCCGTTTCGGATCTCGTGGGAAATGGTCTCCTGCCATCTGAATTGGGGAAGGCTTCTCCATCCTTTTTCTTGTCCCTTTCAGGCCCCAGGCAGGCTTTCTGTAGCTTGAGGGAGTCTGGGGAGACCTTTGCCACGCAGTGCAAGGGCTGGAGGGTGGAATGTCAGTGGCCAGAGGGGCTGGCCTACCCAGAGTGCCCCTGCCCGGCACTGTGGGGCAGCCCGTGTTTCCTCATGTGTGCAGCCCGGGGTCCGTGCTGGAGCTGAGGTACGGGCTGGGTGCTGGGGCTTCCCGTCCCTGTCCTGGTGGTGACCTGGTTAGGTGGCCGTGTGGGCGATTCCATCCAAACTGGGGAGCCGGGGGTCCTGGTGCATCTTCTCAGAGGAAGCAGGGATCCACTGAAGGAGGCCAAGCGGGATAGTGGGGTCACAGGGTGCCCAGGTAGGAGGTGTGGGTGCAGAAGTGACCTGTGATGCAACAGAGATGACGTGGTGGCTGGGTTGTAAGGAGCAGGAAGGGAGAACAGGGGGCTGAGAGGCAGGTAGGCTCGTGTCACCAGCCTTGAAGACCTTGGCGAGGATTTTGAAGCTCATCCCAAGAAGCAGAAAAATTTTGGAGGGTTTTTGGTAAACAGTATCAGACTTTGACTTCGGGTGATTTTGATTTGCCTCTTTTTCCCTGGTGATGGGCAGGGGGTTTAGGCCACACCTGGCAGTGCTCAGGGGTTACTCCTGGCCCTGCACTCAGGACTCCTAGCATGCTCAGGGGACTATGCAGGATGTTGGGGATCAAATCTGGGCCGGCAGCATGCTAAGGCAAACGCCCCACCCATTGCGCTATTGCTCTGGCCCCCAATATGTCTCTTGAATGAATGAATGATTTTTGGTCCATTCTCAGGGTTTAACAATAACTCACATGGTAGGGCGTCTGCCTTGCATGTGGCTGGCCCGGCCAGGTCCGGTTCGATTCCTCCACCCCTCTCGGGGAGCCCGGCAAGCTACTGAGAGTATCTCGCCCGCATGGCAAAGCCTGGCAAGCTACCCGTGACGTATTCGATATGCCAAAAGCAGTAACAACAAGTCTCACAATGGAGACGTTACTGGGCCCGCTCGAGAAAATTGATGAACATGGGAGGACAGTGCTACAGTGCTACAGTCTCAGGGTTTTCCTTGAGAGGTGCCTGAGAACTGGGCGGTATTGGGATTGGACCTGACCCTTTGGCCCAGAGTAGAGACACCCCAATTCCTCGCCCTCCGTTGTGCGTGGTCAGCCCCTTTCTCCACCTCACACTGGTGTGCTGAAGCTTACTCAGTGTGTGAGGCGGCAGGTTTTGACCCCTTCATGCAGAGGAAGATGCCCCACCCGTGCAGGTAGACCCCGTGTCACCTGATTGTCCCCAGACCATCTGTGCCACAGCTCCCCATCCTGCTCGGAGTGACGTGGTGTCTACCTAGTGCCCGAGTGAGCTCTGTTCCCGGGTCCACATCTCAGACAAGGCTGAGCTTCTCTGTGTCTCTGACTTAATCTTGTGCTGGGTCCTCATTCTAGGGTCTCAGCCGTCCTCGAGAGACGCCGGTGGCACCGCAGTGGCTCCTGACACTCGGCATCAAGCCCCCAGCACAAACTGCTTTGGTGGCAGATCCCGGTAAGGCCGTGCTCGGGTGGGAGGAGGAGCTGGGACGAGGATCCGAGTGGCAGTTAGAGCCCGCTTGGGTGCCTGGGACGCCCAAGGGGACCGTGACACTCAGAATCCTCAGGAGGGTCAGAGGCGCTTTGTCAGAGAGGGGGGCTGGCTGGCTGGTGATTTGGAGAGACCCAGCACCCGCCCCCTTTGCCAGCTGGTGGAAAGTTTCCGTGCACCCGTGCTGTGCTGTGGGCTGTGCTGAAACCCAGCCGGCTTAGGGCTGGAACAATAGCATAGTGGTTAGGACGCTCGCCTTGCCGGCGGCCAACCCCGGTTCCATCCTTGGCACCTCACATGGCCCTCTGAGCCCAACCAGGAGTGATCCCTGAGCACAGAGCCAGGAGTCACCCCTGTGTACTACTGGGTGTGGCCCCAAATGTAAAGCAAAGCAAACCAGCCGTCGTCTGTGCTCCCAGGACATGTCCCCACATGGGAAGTGAGCAGTGGGGGTGCACGCGCACCATGGACCCTCTGACGGAGGATGAGGGGCCCCACTCTCCTGCCCTGGTTCCCTGCGCCCAAGAAGGGAGGGCTTTGCACTTTGGCTCCCAGGTGAAGTGACTCGCCTCCCCGGGGGAAGGCTGGGCTTTCTGAGGCGAGGTGCTGAGCACCGGGATCCCAGATTGTGTCTTGGAAGCCTTTCTCCTGTTCTCGAGTTCCTTGAAGCTCTGGAGCTGGAGCCGGGGAAGGATGGTTGGAGTGTGGCGGTTCCCCCAGCTCTGAGTTCCATCCCTTGGAACCTGACCTGCACCTGATGAATAATCAGGTGACTCACCTTTTGTTGATTAAGCTTCTGATCTACCCATTTTGAGCCAGCATGGGGTCCCCACCAGCACTCTGTGGACAAAGGGTTGTTTGCAGACACACACTGGTTAGCATGCCACTAGTGGTATTGCTTGAGTAAAGAAAGTTATTATCAGGCCAGAGAGAGAGACTGCATGCAAGGCAGCTGACCAGGGTTTGATTCATGTCACTGCATTTATGACCCTGAGCACCACTGGAAGTGATCCCTGAGCACAGATCCAGGAGTCAGTCCTGGGCATCTCTGGGTGTGGCATAAAAACAGGTAGAAGGAAAAAAGGAAAAAGGACTAGAGGGATAGCATAATGGGCAGGTTCTTCCCTTGCCTGTGGTTGACCTAGGATGCTAGAAGCTCAGCACTTTATATGGTCCCCCAAAGCCTGCCAGGCATTATCCCTGAGCATTATCCCTGAGTGCAGAGCCAGCAGTAAGCCCTGAGTACTACAAGGTGTGCACCCCCCCCCCCCGCAAAAATAAATAAATAAATAAATAAATAAAAGAAGGGAAGGAGAAACAAAGAGCGAATATCATAGGCAGGTTTTATCTTCTTCCCATCACACTCTGGCCTGTGGTCAAGTGGGTGAAAGATAGGTCAGTATGGACAAACTGCCCGACATAATGTTGTGTGAGATAGATACGCAAAAAAATATGCTTTGTGATATAATTCATATACAGTTGAAAGAAACAGATCCACATTTTGTTTTGTTTTTGAGCTATATCTCACAGTGCTCAGGGCTTACTCCTGGCTCTGCCCACAGGGATCATTCCTGGCAAGATTTGGGGGGAACCATATGCAGTGACAGGGATTACATCTGGGTCGGCTGCATGCAAGACAAATGCCCTACCTGCTTCCTATCTACTGGCCCCTGAAACCATCCGTTTTTGATGGATGAAACTATACAAAAAGAGCGACTTCACCCCCGAATCCATGAGAACAGTCCCCGTGGGAGCGGGCAGGATGTGTGTGCCAAGGAAGATGCAGGAGCCCAGGGGTGATTCCCGGGTTCTAGGACTGTCATTTCTCAGCCCTAGTAGTGAGGGCCCAGTAGTTCTTTTTTTTCCTGGCTGATGAAAAGTTTCAATCAGATATATTGTCATTAAAATAGAAAGCCGTAACATTCCTAACCCTCTTTTTTCTTTTCTTTTTTTTTTTTGTGTGTATGCATGGTATGCTTCACCATTTTTGGTTAGTTTTTGAGCCACACCCGGTGATACTCAGTGGTTACTCCTGGCTCTGCACTCAGGTATTACTCCTAGCGGTGCTTAGGGGACCATAAGGGATGCCGGGGATCGAACCTGGGTTGGGCTCGTGCACGGCAAGCGCCATCCCCGCTGTACTATCTCTCCGGTCCCTGTTTCACTCTCACTGTTCTAAGGATCACCCCGCGGCAGTGCTGGGAGGTTGAAGGATCTCAGAGGCCGACAGATCTTGGAGCTCGGGTATGACGTGCCCCCCAGTGCCAGACAGCAGGGCAACCCCTGATTATAAACGAGGCTTTGCCTGGGTCCTGTCTGCCGGGCTCCCCTCATGGAGGCATCCCAGGCCCAGCGTCTGACTGGGGAGCTGGGGGAACGGGCACCGGGTGAAAAGTGGCCGCCAGCTCGTGCGTTAGACCAGACCAGGCTCGGGGGCTCGAGAGCACAGAGGTGACGCTGCGGGGACAGTGACGTGGTATTGTGGGCCGCTCTGCCAGCGTTCCTCCCTCCTGCGCGCGTGGCGTGTGTGTATGTGCGGATGGGCACAGGGCACGCCCGGCACACCCTTTCATGTTTATTTCCCTCTGTGGGCATGAGCGCTGGTCTGGGAACCGGGCCGAAGCCCGTGCCAGTTCTGCGCCTCTCTCTGTGCCCAGCATGGCACACAGCACTCAGGGCGTGCCAGGAACAGCCCTGCTTTCCGCACCACACTTACAGCCCAGTGGTAAAGGAGGCACCGAGCAGACGGGGCTGAGGAAGGACCCAGCGAGGAGCCCGGGGCTGCATGGTGCTGCGGGGACAGGGCCGGCCTTGCAGGAGGCCGTCTGTGCCCTTGTGAGCTCCTGGGGTGCAGGGGAGACAGCGCCCCTAAGGACCTCCGTGGCACTGGCAGCCTTCTTTGGAGTTAGTGTTGGGTTAGAAATGGTTGTCAACCCCCAGAGTGGGAAGGCAGCAAGTCCTGAGCTGTGTTTTTTTTCCTTTTTCTCCTCGCCTCTGATTTTGCTTTCCCCCTTCACTCTCCAGCCACCGTATGAAATCAGGGTATCCAGGTGAATCCCAGAGGGCTGCCTGCAGGTGACACCATGCCTCTGAGAACAGTCTTAAAGTGTCTTGAGTCTCCTGCCCAGTCCCGGGAGGTCTCTCACAGGGAAATGGGGCTGTTCCCTGGTGAGGGCAGGAAGGCGGTGAGCTTGCTTGCCGCGAGGTCTGCAGAGTGTTCATCAGTCACAGGTGTGCACACTGGGGTGGCTTCCCGGGAGGCAGCTGTCCACGCCCACCTGGTTGTTCCCACATTCCCACAATAGGGCGTCTGTCCTGCCAGGTGAGACCAAGAGTTTGGTCTCTGGCACCGTCACTGCCATTGGGTCCCCACGGAGAAGCAGTCAAGGCCACTGCCGCTCACAGTGTGCTGGGTGGAGCACTGCGACCCAGGGTGCCACCTTGGTCAGGGCAGACGGCAACCGAGGGCAGGAGAGGGGGAGCGAGACAGCGCGCAGAGTGGATTTGGGTACGCCAGCTCGCGTCTTGGGGCTTAAAAAAGGCTCATTTCGCAGAAGTGTCCCTAAGGGAGAAATCGAGACTTTCTTGAAAACCAGATATGAAATTTCCCTGGATTAAATGAGAAAGCGGCTGTGTAGGAGCCTCAGAGTTCGTTTCTTTTCTCCAGTTCATGCACAGATAAGTGTGCGAGAGTGGGTGTGCCCTGGGAGGCCTGTGTGGAGCCGACGCAAGGTGCCAGAGGAGATGCAAGTGTGTACTGAGCGTGTGAGAGCATGCGTGTGTCATTTGTGTGAAAGTGAATGTGAGTGTGTGGGCATGCAGGAGGATGTATGTGTGTGCGCATGCGTGGGGTGCATGCGTGTGAGTGTGTATGCAGTGTGGCTTTGCCAGTGTGCGTCAGGATCCTCTCCACAGGCCCCGGTGAGCTTCAGGTGGAATAGTCTTTCCCCCTCGCATTATTGAACGTTCCCTTTTTGTGCTGAGCTGATGAAAACACGCCCCGTTTACCCACCCGCTCTCTCCCTTGCATCCGTGACCCCAACGGTCTGTGACCCGGGAGCCCGACGGGGCCCCTGGTTCTCTGGTGAGCTCTAAATAGCTCATCATCAGTGTCCGCAGACAGCCTGGCCCAGAAAGGAAAGAAAAATAAACTCCACTGGGTCTGAGTCTGCTGGGAACTCTTCGGGGAAGGCCCCAGGGAGTCCAGGGGCAGGGGGGCGGGGAGCAGAGCCAGTGGGCGCGGGAGGGGAGGGGCCCTCTCGGCAGGCCCTGCAGCTGCTCAGGATGGAGGATGCGAGCCCTGGGCCATGGTGCCCTTGGCACCGCCCGCTCCCCCATCATGGCCTTTCCTCTCTGCCTTTTGCCCAGTGGCAGACTTTCCCTTTTTACGTCTCTCCTTTTCCCTCTCTGAGCTGTTGTTGTGACTGGCGGGTCACGTGCACTCGTGTCCGTGTGGCGTTCCCCAGGGGTCACACACTGTAGTGGTGATGTTCCAATGTACTAGGCTGTGGCCGTGCGTCCAGGTCTCACCTGGCACGTTTGATGGCCACTTGGGCCTGACTGCAGTCTTGTGCCTGCCGGGCAGGTGCTCGACTACCGAGCCTCGCCCCTGGGCCCCCATGAGGTTCGACCTGGAGTGACGGGAGCACTGTCGGAGGAGGAATGAGCATGCAGGGTCACTGAGGCTTGGGGGCGCTGGCAAGGAACTCCTGGGAGCATCTGGGCAGGAGGGTTGAGAACCTGGACAGGAGCCCCACAGTGTCCTTGGAGCCAGACTTCCAGCAGGAGCTGGGGAGAGTGAGCCCTGCGTCAGTCGTGCTTCTGGATCATTTGACTGGGTCCCACTTACTCTCCAGGCATTCGATTGGCATACGGACTTTCCCCTATGCACCTGGAGAGGTGTGGCGAGTAGTAGGAAGCTGGCCGGGAGTTTTTCTCCAACAAGAAGCTGGGTGGGCGGGCGG